GGGACTCCAGGATCATGACCTGAGCCAAAGGCAGTAGCTTAACCAACTGAGCCACCCAGGCGCCCGAAATCTGATTTTTAAAGGGAAGTATTGAACTCAAAAGTTTAAAGGAAAAACCACATCTAACACTGTGGGCCAACTAATGCATGTCTATAGGCTGTCTGTGTAGGACTGAGCCGTTGGCCTACTGGAATCCACTGAAGGAACTAAGCTAGCATCTTCCTTTTGAAACATTTTAATCACCCCGAGCTTCCTTTTAATCGAGCTTTTTTAAAAGATCTGTCTTCCTGCTGTTCTGTTACATTTACACATAGAGTCCGAGCATTTAACACCTACCAGTAGCTGGTCTGATTAGTTAGACCAGCTACTTTAGGAAGCTTCCAGTAACCTGAGGGAGCAAATATCTGCTTCCACTTCCATTCCCTTCCCTGAGAGGATGCATTTATTCAGAAACATTTCTGATCTCTGGACGGACAGTATGAGGAAAAGCACATGGTGCTATATGAAGCTGCAGCAAGAGGACATAATTCATACGGGGGGTGTCTCAAAAAAAGCTCCTTTTTAAAAATTATTTTTAAGGGTTTTATTTATGTATTAGAGAGAGAGAGAACAAGCAGGGAGAGAGGGAGAGGGAGAAGCAGGCTCCCCGCTGAGCAGGGAGCCCAATGTGGGGCTCGATCCCAGGACCCTGGGATCATGATCTGAGCCAGCTGCAGATGCTTAACCGAGTGAGCCACCCAGGTGCCCCTCAACAAAAGCTTCTGAAAACATGACACTCAAGCTGAGACCTAAAGAATATCCAAAAGTTTGCCAAGTGAAGCAGGGAGGAGGCATTCCAGGCAGAAAGAAAAGCATGTGTGAAGATCCTGAAGCTAAAAGAAATGTAATGCATTCCAAGAACTGAAAGGCTAGTGTGGTTAAAACCCAGGGAACTAGGGGGAGTGTGGAACAGGATAAGTCTAGATGGGAAGGCCAGAGCTGGTTCAGGGAGGGCTCTGAAAGCCGCCGTCATGAGCTTGGATTTTATCATAAGGGTAGTGGGCAGCCAGCAGATTCTCAGCAGAGAAGCACAGCCTTATCTGCCTCTTAGAACGATCACTCTGACCCAGGATGGAGAATGAACAGGAGGGAACGAGACAGTGGGTATACACCTACCTTGTTCATCACTGTAATCCTAGCATCTAGCAGGGTGCCTGCACACACTGAGTGCCTGCACTCAGTGAATGTTTGTGGAACGAATGACTGGAAACAGAGAGGCTATCACAGTGACCAAGGCTTGGAGCTGAAGAAAAGTGTTCCAATTTGCGATGTTACGTAAGTTGATGGCATTTGGTAAAGCACTGACTGAATGTAGGAGTTTGGGGATGAGGGAAGGAAAGAGGCAGGCAAGATTCCCATGTACCCGGCCTGAGCGCCAACTGTATGTTTGGAGGGCAGAGTTGAATGAGATGGATTGGACCGGAGGGAGAGGGTTCCCAACCGACTATCAGATTCCCTCCCAACTCCCACCACACGTGCGTGTCTGAGCATCTGAGGAGCACCGGGCACAAGAACAGCACTGAGCTCCCTGAAGATGACGGCGGCAACACTCTGTGTCCACCCCCTGGCTCTCCCAGATCCACTCCCGGCCCCGCAAGCAGGCGCCATCCGCGGGATGAGGGGAAGGGGCACCGCGCACACAGGAAGACCCGGGTGGTGGAGCTGGCTGTCCACACTACGTAAACGCCTTGAACTTATATGAGCCGCAGTTTCCTCACAAGACAGTTGCGAGCATCACCGCGTAAAGCTCCAGGCCAAAGCTGGGTGTCACACGGCTCGCAAAGAATCGCGCGGAATCCCCACGTTTCTTTCGGCCTGCTGGGTTCACTCGCCCCGGGTCCGCCCGCGTCCCCCGACCCGGAGTCGCTGCCTACCTGCCAACCCCGTAGCGGCGGCGCGCTGCCGCCCGGGCTGATTCCGGCAGGCCGCTTCTCTCCCGGGTCAGCGGCAGTCGGTGCCTCGCCCGCTGGCCTCAGCCGCTGCCACGGCTACAGGACCTGTTTACCCGTAACGTCATTACCTGACTGCGGAAGTACTTACTCCGCCCAACCCGCAGAGCCTGCTGGGAAACAGGCCTGAGAGGAGGGACGGCTGCCTACAAGACCCAGAGGCCTTTGCGCCGGAAAGGCTGCCGGAAGTAGCTAAGCACTCACGGCGGAATTCTCTCAGGGACCCCTCCCTCCCCCGTGATTGGGTGCTGGGCAAGGCCCGCTTTAGAGTCCCAGGCTGCGGGGCGGGCGGGGTTGGGCTGGGGCTCCAGGCGGAGACCGCGAGCGGAGGATGTGAGTTCACAGCCGGGATTGCTGGCGGGCAGGCGGCCACAGCCCAGGGCGGCACAGGGTCGGCTTGCAACCCAGCTGAGAGGAGAAGCGCCCCCCGGGGACGGTGAGAGCCGGGGTGCGGATGCCCTAGGGGACAGGATGGACGGGCCCCGGGCTGGAGCAGAGAGCCCCACCCAGTCCTGGGGAAAAGGCGTGGGACGGTGTAGGGGAGATGGAGAGCTCAAATCCTCCACTGGGATGGGTGTCAGAATCGGTCTCAGTTTCTCGGTGGTGAGGAGGGGTGCGGGCCGGGGAAGACTCACCACAGACCACAGAGAGGTTGGGTCTCGCTAAATCTTTCCAGTCCCTTTGGACGAAGCTTAAGATTTACACCTACAATTTCTGCTAGATCCTCCTCTACCCAAGATCGGTTACCAGCCCGCCACCACCGAGTGTGATGGATTTCTGGGTCCTTTTTCCTTTAGGACCCCACCTTCTTCCATGGCCGTGGTTGTTGTCCTGCCCTTTATTCTGCTTCGGTTCCCATTAGCCTCGCTGAGGGAGACTCGGATACGCCCTCAGCCCCAGGCATCCCCAAATATCCACACACAAAGTCCGGAAGGAACAGCAGTGAGGCTATCAGTGGAAACTTCATTCTCACTGGAATTACTTTCTGGGGCGTCACCTGCCACAAGATTCCTGGAGCCCATTGGTCTGGGAGGAATCTGAGCGGGCGGCATCTGAGCTGACGTCATCCAGGGGCTCAAAGCAATTGCTTTATGTAGGCTCTGTTGGCCACCGCCTAGCCTTTGAATTCCTTTACTTTGGCAGAACATATGTGTGCTTGCTTTGATCCTTGGGGAAATCGGGGCTAGACCCAAAGTACGTAGGGAACTTGTTAAAACCTGTTAAGGGGTGGACTTATTCCTTTGGAGTGGGTGGAGGAGGGTGAGGTGATTTCATACTGTTCATGTGTTACTTAGGGATTGGGCAGTCTGCTGGTGAGGGTTCATCTCATCCATACTCCATCCTTGGGGCAAATGAGAGTCTGCTGGACAAGCCACCAAGGAAATTCGGTACTTCACAAAGCACCCGCTCTGGTCCTTCCTTGGACATTCTTCTTAGGGGCCTACCTAAATCTTTTCAGGGACAGTTTCAGTCTAACAAACTGACATATTAAATACTTTCAGATGTGCATGGCGTTGTGGTAAGCACTGCTTCTGGATCTCACTTATAGGAGGTGACGTGCAACCGCAAATTTTGCGTGTTGTGAGGACTATGAGGCGATTTTACCTTTTTTCTTTCTCCATTGCCAGCACTGCAGTCCAGGCCTTCACCACTTGCCTAGACTGCCGCTTCCTCTGGTCTTCCCACTTGTTCTCATGCACCCTTACGATCCATTCTCTACCCGGCAGCCAGAGTGATCTTTTCAAAATGTGAATAACTGAGATCCTGTCACTCTCCTACTTAAAACCCTCCAATCAATGGCCATCGCAATTAGTATAAAATGCAAACTTTTTAATATGAACTGGCCCCTGCGTCCTGACTTTACATCAAGCCAACTTCCCCCTTCTTTCTATGCACTAGACATCTTGGCCTTATTTCTGTTCCTAAAACTTGTGTCTAACTGAGAAACTTTGCACTTACTCTTCCATCCATCTGGAATGCTCTTTCAGACTTCAGCTGGAATGTCACCTTCCCAAAGAGGCTTTCCCCGGCCCCTACCCATTTTAGGACTTCTCCCTAGTCACTCTCTTTTTTTTTTTTAAAGATTTTATTTATTTATATGAGAGAGAGAGCGAGTACATGAGAGGGGGGAGGGTCAGAGGGAGAAGCAGACCCCCTGCCAAGCAGGGAGCCCGATGCGGGACTCGATCCAGGGACTCCAGGATCATGACCCGAGCCGAAGGCAGTCGCTTAACCAACTGAGCCACCCAGGCGCCCTCCCTAGTCACTCTCTTATCACTAGCTTATTTATTGCATTTCTTACCCTCTGGAACTGCTTGCTTATTTATTCATTGTCTTGCTTATTGTCTGTATCCTCCCCCTAGAATGTAATTTCCGTGAGGCCATGACTTATTTGTACTCTTCTGTATCCTCAGTGCCCAGCACATAACAGGGCACAATAAACGCTAACTCTTATTAAGTTTTATTCTTGTTAACGTTATGATGCTTCTTGGTACTCCTTGAAGGCAAAGTCCGTATCTTTCCATCTCTCTGTCCCTACCGCCTAACGGAGAGGGACTCAGTCTTGTTTTCTCGCTGAATGAGTTAAATGAAGTAATGTGTATATTAAGTTGCCTAGACTAGTACCTGGTACATAGTAAACGTGCAGTGAATGTTTGTTCTTTTTTTTCAATGAATGGATTTTAGTGATTCCTTAAAAAACCAAGACATATAAGAGAGAATCTAGCTCGCGGGGGGTGACCTGGCTTTGCTCTCCTTTTCTTCCCTCACTCCTCCCTCCCATGAATGCCTATCAGTGTTTTAGTTTCCAAATCACTTCATAGTTGTTTTTAGATTTATCATCCGGTCTTTTCAAGCCCCTTCTCCCCGGTCTTGTGGGTAGGGAAGAAAGGAAGAGATAAGGCTGGGCCTCCTCTCAGGAAAAAGAAGTAAAAATAGCCATCCTGTAGTTGTTCTGTCCTGGAAAATGGTGACAATTTCAGGAACTTGGGACAGGGCTGGGACCAAGAAAGAGGAAGGTCAGGAAACTGCTGCGGCCTGGGTAACCTCTGCCAGGAACACTGGCTGGCGCCCTCTAGCCTGGCTCATTCCGTGCTCTCCTGAAGCTGCTTTTACTTTCCTTCCTGAAGCCAGACCCTGGTGGTGCTCAAAGTCAGCGCTGGTGCAGACTGCTTCTGGGCCTGGAATCTTTAGAAAGGAAGTGCATCCTGTCCCTCTAGCTCCTGGGAATCTCCTGCGCTGGCAGGATTCCCAGTAGGTTTGGTGGGAAGACTTGGGTCCTGGGAACCTTGAGAGGCAAAGAACTGGAATTGGACTGTCGTTCCCCAGGGTAAAGACTTCGGCTGCCCCAGCTCCTCCTCAAGCCGACTCGGACTAACTCCCAGGGTTTGCTTGTCCTCCTTGCTGCCGAGAGCTGAGCCGAGGCTCAGGGGGGCTGGCGAGATGAGGGGCAGGCTCTGGGAGACTGTGCTGGTTCCTGTTACCATAAAGAAGAACAGGAATGTCCTCTTTTGCTGTTGCCTAGGGCCTTAGCCTCTGCCAGGGAGTCTTGCTTGTCAAGGAGAGAATGACTGCACGGTCCCCTCCTGTCCCCTCTCAGCTGAGGGCTCTCCTCTGCTAACTCCTGTCTTCTCTCCCGTCTCCTGCTCACAGTGTTGAGAGTATGAAGCTCTGGCCTCCGCTGACCACTCGCTCGTGATCCTTCCACCACGGCGGAGCCTTCCAAGCCGACCTCCTGCCGTGTGGTGATCTACCTGCAGCGGGAGATGTCAGGGGATACCTGTCTGTGCCCAGCCTCGGGGGCCAAGCCCAAGCCGAGCGGCTTCAAGGGAGGAGGCCTGGGCAACAAATACGTCCAGCTCAATGTGGGGGGCTCCCTGTACTACACCACTGTGCGGGCACTAACCCGGCACGACACCATGCTCAAGGCCATGTTCAGCGGGCGCATGGAGGTGCTGACTGACAAAGAAGGTGAGGCATTGGGGCTTGTTGGGCCAGCTGAGGAGGGAAGGAAGAATTCCTGAAGAAGCGACTTCGGGGCAGGGCTCGAGCCTGGCAGGTCTAGACTCTAGATTCACTCTTCCCGTTACCTGGTCCCGGACTCCTTCAGCTGGAGTCTGTGGTAGAGCCCCGGCATTCTTTGAGGTTGTATGTAGAAGGGTGTGCGCTTACAGGTTATCCAGGGCCAAGATCCATACCTTTTAAATAACAAAAGGACTAGATTCTCCTGAGAACCATCGCTGTACTGACCGGGCAGTGCACAGAGGGCAGGCAGGGCCTGGTGGCGTTCGTGTCGCCAGGCGGTGGGCCTGAGCGCTCCTGAGCTGAGACCTCTGAGGGCTGCCGCAGAGCCTGGAGGGCCTCTGTCCCCCGCAGTCCGGGCCACCCTTGGTGGAAAAGAACAGCCACAGACCTAGGAGCTAGAAGTGGCGTTCCCACTTCTGTTACCCTGTGCTGCGGGCTACCTGGAGGCAACGAGTAACTGTCGGGGGCCTGTCTGAATCCCTAGGCTGGATCCTCATAGACCGATGTGGAAAGCACTTTGGCACCATTTTGAATTACCTCCGCGATGACACCATCATCCTCCCACAGAACCGGCAAGAAATCAAGGAACTGATGGCCGAGGCCAAGTATTACCTCATTCAGGGGCTGGTGAGCGTGTGCCAGACTGCTCTGCAGGTAGGGAGCTAAAGTGGGCTCAGGTCGAGGAGGTTGGGAGTTGGCCGCTCCCTTCAGGGACATAAAGGTCCAGTTCCTGGAAGGTCGCATGACCGGTACGGTTGGTGAGTCCGAACCTCACTGTTAGATATGCTGGGTGCTGCCCAGGCCAAGGACACTGGCAGCCAGTCTGTTTGTAAGGTGACAGACTCGGGCAGTAGGACTAAGCCCAGCTTCCGGTTTCTACACCTTGCTATCTGGATTTTAGGTTTTCTGGAAATGGGGTTCTGCTTGCCAGCTGGCAGTTTCTATTGCCAGATGCCTCCTCAACAAGCAGAGGGTGGCCTTGGCAGGGGGGCTCCGACAGCTCCTGGGGAACGCCTGGCTTAGCCTGGCAAGCAGGAGATCTCAAAAAAGATTCTCGGCTGTGTGTATCACCCAGG